GTGTGATCGGAGAGTTTTTGTGTTCTTCTGCGGTGGGTCTTGCAGAACTTAGCTCCAACCGAATGGACAGTTTCCACGAGCTTGTCATTCATATCGTCCACTGCATTGCAATCTTCTAGGCACTGAAAGTGGTTACGTAACTCGAGCTGAAAAGTTTCGGGATTCTGGATCAGAGCACGAGGGGGACGGAGCGTTGACTTCATTAGACGAGACCTCTCTAATTTAACGTTTAGGTTCAGTGTGCCTCTAACCATTCGGTGATCGCTGCCGGTTTTCACCCTTGCGATCACTGAGACATCAGTGAACAGTTGGCGTCTGGTCGTCATAATGAAGTCAATCTCATTTTTTGTCGAACCGTCGGGGCTCTACCAGGTCCACTTCCTGTGAGGCCGCTTCTGGAAGAAAGAGTTCATCATAAAGAGTCCCTCTTTCTCCATAAAGTCAGCCAGCTGCTGGCCCCTACAGTTCCGTTGCCCTATTCCAAATTTTCCTAACTTCAGCTCACCGCCTTCCCTTGTGCCTAGTTTTGCGTTGAAGTCTCCCATCAACACCGTGTAGTGGGTTTTAGAGGAATGCATGGCTCTAGAAATATCCTCATACATTTCCTCCACCTCATCATCGGGATGTGCCGAGGTTGGTGCGTATACCTGTATGACCTTCAGCGAATACCGTTTGGTGTTTCTTAGTATCAGGTACGCGACCCTCGTCGACACACTCCCAATCTTTACAACGTTGTTGACGAGAGACTTGTGGACGATAAATCCGATACCTCCTTGGGACAGATGGTCGCCCTCCCGGTGATAGAACAAGTTGCCGGACTCAAGGATTGCCGTGTCCTCCCCCTCTCTTCGGACCTCGGATAATCCAATAATATGCCAGCGCAACTTATCTACCTCTTCCAGCTCCAGTATCTTCTCGTCAGTCCTCAGGGTACGTGCGTTATACGTTGCCAGGTCGAGTCGTCGTAGGTGGCAACCGAACCTCCACCGGAGATTATTAGCACCCCCTGCCCCGCCGTTACCATGGTCGCCACCGTAGCCAGGAATAGCGGGGCCGCCCGGGACTGGGAGCCGTTTATTTGCGTCGTTGCTCATTGGGGGATATTTGCCATAGTTGCCACGCTTGGCGAGCGGTTTGGCAACCGCAGTTTTTTTTATACTGACTATTCCGTCCTCCATGGCGGCACTACTGCGGAGGCGTGGAGCAGAAGCGCGTTGGTCCTTGTTCTTTAAAAAAAGGCGACAACGCTCTCTTGAATACATACAGACCGATTTCCCTTCTGAGCCGCGTCCACGTTCTCTTTTCGAGAGTCATTACGAATCGTCTCGCACGCAGACTCGAAGACTTTCAGCCTCCCGAACAAGCCGGTTTCCGAAAAGGCTTCAGTACCATAGACCACATACATACCCTGCGGCAGATTGTACAGAAGACCGAAGAGTACAAACTACAACAGTTGCCTGGCGTATGTGGACTATGAGAAAGCCTTTGATTCCGTCTAAATTTGGGCGGTGCTACAGTCCCTTCAGCGGTGCCAAGTTGACGGTCGGTATATCGAAGCGCTGAAGTGTTTGTACAGTAGAGCTACGATGGCTATCCGAGTACAGAACCAGAGTTCGAAACTTATCCAACTGCAGAGAGGTGTAAGACAAGGTGATGTTATATCCCCGAAACTTTTCACCGCTGCGTTAGAAGACGTTTTCAAGCTACTGGACTGGAAAGGATACGGTATTAGCGTCAATGGCGAGTACATCACTCACCTTTGATTTGCCGACGATATAGTCCTTATGGCAGAATCGCTGGAGGACCTTAGCACTATGCTCAATGACCTCAATGGTGTCTCCCGTCGGATAGGTCTTAAAATGAACATGGATAAAACAAATATCATGTTTAATGTCAATGTCACGTCTGCGCCGGTAGTTGTTGGTAGCACTATGCTCGAAGTTGTTGACGAGTACGTTTACCTGGGACAAATAGTCCGACTAGGTAAGTCCAACTTCGACGGAGAGGTCAATCGATGGATTCAACTCAGCTGGGCAGCGTTCGGGAAATTACGACACATTTTCTCGTCAGGTATACCTCAATCTCTGAAAACTAAAGTGTACAACCAGTGCGTGTTGCCAGTGATGACTTACGGATCTGATACGTGGTCCTTCACTACTGGTCGTATGAGGACGCTCAAGGTCGCTCAGCGAGCTATGGAGAGGGCTATGCTTGGAGTTTCTCTGCGTGATAGACTCAGAAATGAGGAAATCCGCAGTAAAACCAGAGTGACCAACAAGCCCAACGGATTGGTAAGCTGAAGTGGCAATAGGCCAGCCATATGGCTCGAAGAACCGATAACCGATAGGGAAGAAAGGTTCTCGAGTGGCAGCCTCGTACCGGTAGGCGTAGTGTAGGGCGACCCCCCACTAGATGGAGTGACGTCCTGGTAAGACATGCAGGAAGTCGATGGATGTAGGTGTCTCAGGACCGTGCTTTGTGGCATTACTTGGGGGAGGCATATGTTCAGCAGTGTACTTGTGAAGGGCTGTAATGATGATGATGACGATGATGATGTGCTACCTCATATCTTAATCGCCGTCCCCGGCGAATAAAATGGTAATCGTAAAAACTAAATTTTACAGGAAAAATAAAAAAACAGTTTTTTTGTAATATCTCATAAACTAATATACATAGCTGGATAGTTCAAAGACCAAAAGAAAGGCAATTTTTTGCAAAATAATTGTAAGCTTTATCAAATAATTTATCTTTCGTCAAAATGCAGTAATTAATGAAATAAAATTTACCATAAATTAAAAGCACAAACTTTTACTGTAAAGCAACATTACGATATTATTCGCGTAAAATCTCATGTAATATGTTACCGTAGTAATACATTGCTGTATAACACACAATAACACAGGTCGATAAATTGTGATAGGGTCCCATATTGGAATATACTATTACCATTTTATTTGCTGACAAGCAATTAATTACAGATTACAGTAATAGCAACTTACGTGTATATTCCATGGAAAATTTATTAAACTAACTGGTGGCAAGTATCAAATACTGAATAAATATTTTATACGTGTGCAAGGTAATGTGCGAAGAAAAAAACAAGGGACTGTCAATTTATTTTTTTATTTTGTCATAATTATTAACGACTGTTTATAAAAATCAAGAAATTAGGAACTGCGTACTTCTGTACTGTCTACAATGTACTTAATTACTATTTTATTAGAAGCATTTACCCTGGGTATGTCTACTCCTTGTTGTCTGCATGTTCAGAGAGTTCAGAGTCTGAATGTTCACTCGGGTTACCTTCGCAGCTCGTGAGAGAGTCATAAAATGCATGGTAGTGCTGTGGGATGGCATCACTAGTACACAAACTTAATAAATCTATATGTAGCGCTTTACTTATAGGTATTTGCTTATCATAAGCTTGTTTCAAATGTAAATCGATTTATTCAGCTTCTGCTGCAATGGAGGCTGTCGCTTTTCGCCCTCGCCTGGGTCTAGTCAATAGTATCTACGTGTCTAGTTCCAAATATTCTTCTTCGAAGTTATAATTGAATTGTAGAATATGAGGTTTAAAACGTGATACCTTCACTTCCATTATTTTTGCGCATTTAATTTTGTTTCCTTTAGTGTTTTTGAGCCAGTTTTGTTTTCCAGAAATAAGAGTTTTTATGTTGTAAATGTCACGCTGCTTCATTTCATGAACCTTATATTTATTTCCTGTCACTTTTGCATTCATTATGATACTGTAAACTTGGTCAGGAGTATACAATACTTTATTTTTCATGGCCCTTTCTATGCATGAATAGCATGCATTCATGCATAGAAAGGGCCATGAATAATATCGCCTTCGTTCTGACTGTGGCCAGTCTCAATTGTGGTGGGTTATATTTTCTAGGTCATAAGCTCTTATGGCGTAAAGGTATAATGCAAAAACGTACCTGTTTTTGTTCTGACCAGCGCAGCCATCGGAATAAAAAGATAAATTTTTGATACTTTTGAGGCCTTCTTGCTCGATAAACTTCATTAGGCAACTGCTTGATTGAAATAATCGATCCTCTTTTGGCAATAGACAGATGCCAGACAAAGCAATTACAAAAAATTTATGACCACATTTTCGCAGTGAGTCGTAGACAGTAAAATTATAAACGGGGTATTTCCTCTTGTAGTGAGAAACCCCCACTTCAGACTGAGGAATACTGAGGACCTTTTCTAGATCAAAAATGGCAATAGTTGTACTTCTTTCATCCACTGCAGCTTTTTCTTCTTCTTTTAACTGACGCACTTTATTCTTTCTCATCAAATGTTCCCTATACTTAGCCTCTAGACTAACTTTGGTTATTTCATTACCTTGATCATATTCGGAGCAGATTCCGCATAAATCTTTCTTTGGTTTGAAAAACGAGTAGTTAAACTCCGTGTTAAAAGTATATTCATATTGCCGCTTTATAGCCTTGTGTTCTGCAGAATAATGTTGATTGGGGAACCAGAGTTCATACAAGCGGTACATTTTAGAAATATTTAGGTGCTCTGATAAATAAAGTCGCTTAGTATCTTTACTGATATAGTGGGATTCTACAGCAGGAAATATTTGAATATGCGTCATCACGCTTTCTTTCGTAGAATCACTCATCTTATGGGTCCTGTTTTTTTGAGTTCCCGTTTTGTCGATTAAGCTTTCGTCTCTTTTTATTTTTTCTAATGCTGTGTATACGGTTTGTTAGGATATTTTTATGGTATTTAAAAAGTATGTTTTGCAAACGTTAATATTTAAGCTATCTGAAGGAAATGAGTATTTTATGGTTTGTGTTCTATCGTTCTTTCTATCTAAAGTTAGTCGCTTTATAGGTTTAACATCTGTGTGTCGAACAATGTATTACCATTGGTGCTTACGATTCCCGAGTTGATAAAAGGTCTGAAATATACTTTCTCTTTGTTCCATGGTAAATTTTTCTGCGCGTTTTTTGTTACACTTGCATGCTGGTCCTATTTTCTTTGCATCAAGTTTTTTTTTTAGTACGAACCCCTTCGTAGGATTTTCCAGAATTTTTCATAGCTTTGTTTTTTTTATCTTTCCATTCATCCATCTTACAAGTTCGTTTTCTACTTAATTTGTTTTGATTTGGTGTAACAGAATGTTCAAATTGTTCATTATTAGGCATATTCTCTATTTGTAGATTTTCTTGATCAGAAGAGGACAATTCATTTGATTGAACCGTATAGGTATCGTTAATCTGCGGGACTTCTTGACCTATTTCAATGTCTTGACGATTACTTAATTCACGATTAATTACTAATGTGGATACTTTTGCTTGATTCATTTCTATGCTTTGTAGAATATGCAGATTTTCATGTTCTGCTGTAATATCTATAATTGGACTGTTTCCAACTACTGTTTCATTTGGGATCAAAGTATTATCTCCATTATTTGATTTTAATGTCTCGTCTCCTGAATCCTCTTCTACTCGGTGTTCTTGGCATGATGGTGTATGAGAAGGTGTTTTGGCATAAAGCAGATTGCTATGCTTGTCTGTGGGTTGTTCCAATATCAGTTTAGAGGCCCCGACTGAACCACATTTGTAAACAGCAGTGGGAGAAGGGGAACAAATTCCACATCATTATCTCAAACGAAGGATATATTAGTAATTACTAATGGACTCCAAAGCTTATTGTTGGTTTCAATTAGTTTTTCTATACAAGCTGAGTCTCCTCCAAAACTTGAAGTGGAGCTTGGTGTTTGGATTTCACGGTTAAGGCTTGGTACATACTCAGAAGAGGCATCTGTTGAGTAATCTTCGTTCTCTTTATCACGTTCATCGTAATATTTTGTTTTCAAATCTGCAACGATAAATATAATAAGAATTACTTAGGTACAAAACTAATAAAGTTAATGTTTGTGATTCAATCACATTAAATAGATGAAATGATTTGGGTGAAATATGAAGTTTTGGAATAATTATTACAGTTTAAACAGTACTGCTGTGCGTTGCAATGCTTTTTTTCTATGAGAAACCTTGCCGGGTGCACGCTCAACAAACAAAAACAAATAAACAAAAATTAAGTTTTGTACAGAGTGGCTAGTAGATGATAAAACTTATTTTTATTAACTACCTCTTAAGTCGTAAGACTGTTTCACTTTCGAAGATCTTTGGATTACACTTGCTGTAACAAGTTCTTCAGCAATATCTGCTTTAGATATAGAAGTTGGATATTCAGATGAATGATTTTCTGAAAAATAGAAAAGGTGGAAAAGTGTGCACTAAAAACTGTAGCACTGAGGGTGTAGTAATAATAATAATAATAATAGCGCAACTAGAAACACCACCATAATATGTTGCTATTCCCTGCGGGAATCGAACCCGTGACCTCCAGATCAAGAAGCTAGTGCTCTCACCACTAGACCACAGAGAATTTACCCTTCAAGCGCCATAAAAATCTCATGCAGTCGCATGCGCTCGGCAAATCCCGAGCGGTCGCATGCGACCGCCCTCACCCACATCTTTTAAATCCATTAAAACTTATATTTAGAGACTACTTTTTATGAAGAATCTATACAAAATTCTCTATCCTGTGGTCTAAACAAAAGTCAGGCTTTACTTCATTACAAAAAGATTTCATTGTATTTTGTAATAAACATACCGAGTGAATGTCGGCAGCGTTAAAATCACAATTATTTCTATATATTACTCTAAATTATTTACGTAGAAAGATAAATTATATTCACACAAAAACTTTTATAACAATTTTATAATGAAACTCTATAGTAAAACACTAATAAAACACTAGAAAAATCCAAAAATCAACACAATAACATTCACGCGAAAATAACGTACGAAATTAACGTAGATTATAAATAAATATTCATATGATAACAGTTTTTTATTGCACTAGACCTAGAGGATAGAGTATTTCATATTTTATATTATATAATGCTAAACTTCTTCATAGAAAAGTAGTCTCTATATATAAGTTTTTACGGGTTAAAATGCTGTGGATGGGCGCGACCTCATGAGACCGCTGGGGATTTGATGGAATATGGCCGCGGTCTCAAGAGACCGCTGGGGGGTTGAAAGGTTAATAACCAGTTTTTAGAGCTAAGTTAATGTTTTCTTATTCTTTAGTGCACGCAAAATAAAAATAAACATACAAATTGCAATAATACAGCAACAATGCATGCAATGCAAAAAACACGTTCTACATCACTTTGAATAAGAATTGTTTTAGCAGAGTGACTACTGAAGTTTGATCTCCGGATAAACTATTTCCTGAGATAATAAAATAAAACAAAATAAACCCTCTGTGTGCCCCTGTGTGACTTCAAATTCATTTAAAATAACATAGGTAGTGGTGTTATAATTTAAGTAATGTTTAATCTTACCTTCATTTTTATCAAGAGGTATTAAATCCAACATTCGTCTCGCGCGAGGGTTTTTTAAAAGTTGCTTTTTCATTTTTGTTAATTACTAAACTTAACAACTCCTATGAAACAAATTCTCATTAACACAAATTACTATAGTCACTCGAAAATAATAAAAAATGAATAATTCAGCTGAACTTGTATACGACACGATCACTTTCTTGCGACTGATTTGGGTAAACAAACAACGCGGATCTTTCGGTACGTGTTGGGGGCGGAGCATAGTGCTGTCACTGTTTCTCAAGTGCATTTCGAAAGAGAGCTAAGAGTCCTACGTATTTAGAATGATCATAGCTTATATTTTTACACCGATTACAGAAAATAAAGTAGTTTTCGGATATAGTAATCAATATTACCTTCTTTAGTATTTAATTAAATGTATCGTAAAAAACTTAACGATTTCAAAATAAAATTGTATGTTACCGGAATAAAAATGTATTATGCTTTACGCAACAATTTGTTTAACAATTTTATTCGTTGCTACAAGTCTACTAAGCATACAAACAAATAATATTGTTAAATTTATTACAATACACATAAAAATCTCGTAATTTCTACAATAACCGTAGGAAATGTCTAAAAAAAATTGACGAAATTTAATCGGACCCGTAAATATCGAATATGCAATTAACTTAAAACTATCGTAATAGCACATTACCATTTTATTCGCCGGGGACGGCGTTATGTTCTTTACTGTATATTGTGCGTGGTATTGGAAGACGATACCGAAGGATCAAACGACCATAATATCGTTTCATTTATCATTACAGATAATCAATAGTACGCTTCTAAATGTAGACTTCTCTCATAGATTGTCTTACATTGTCTTTTACTTAAATCGTCACGCTTGGCGGGTGAGTCGCCAACCGCAGTTTTTTGTTATTATTGACTTTCTGTCAGAAATCTGCTGATGGTGGATTACATAGTGGACTACGTGCATTGATGTAACTACGTATATATATATATATATATATATATATATATATATATATATATATATATATATATATATATATATATATATATATATATATATAACATAAAACCAGCAACTTTTATAATTTTAAATTAGAAATAGCCAATACTACATTTTCTAGATAATTTAAAACAATAAATAGGAAACGAATAACCTTTAGTTAAAGTGTAAGTTGAAATTATAAGAATATATATCGGCTACAAATGGGTGGTAATTAGAGAATGAACTATTATGTTAAAGACACAGTGAAAATATTTTTAATAAATGTTTATTGAAAAATTTTCGTAAAAAATTCTTGGCATTTAAAACACATCCAGCTTTTATTTATTTTTTAAATAACGCAAGTTTTTACGGATTTTATCGCGGATCTGTGACAGTCAAGCATATTTTGCATGACAACAAGCTTCGGGCCCCGCACCTACGTTACAGTTAAAGATTGAAGGCAGCCACAGTCGAGCGTGTGCCTGCTGTACTGCTATATGTCAGAAGAGTCACTGACAAGATTGGCTACATCTTGAAACGCCCTTCCATTAAAACATACTTCAAGCCGCCGAAGAAGATTGGTCAGTCAAGTGTAATGTTCCTTTGTAAGATGCAGGAGTATACAAGCTTAATATGGTCTCTCCTACATAGGACAAACTAAAAGGTTATTTAAAACCCGCGTTAAAAAAACATATACTCGATGTGAAGAATCGACGCTTCGGGAAGTCTGTAGTCTGTGAACATGGTACAGAATCGCCTCCGTCACCACATCAGATTTGATAGACCACAACTACTCGCTAAAGAACACCGATTCCTTCCAAGGATGATTCGCTAAGCTAATGAAATCGATAGACATCCTAATTTCAATAGAGAAGATGGCTGGGTTCTACCATCTGCTTGAGATATTATAATTAATAAAATTAAATCCCTATATACTATAATAATAATAATAATAATAAGTTCTTTATTTCCAAGAGGTTGTACATCACGATATTTGCATAACATTATTTAATAAAGCTACATTGGTACATATACTTGAAACATAACATCTGCAGCCGAACTAAGAGATCTGTGCATCAGCTTTCAGCGTCATATCCCCATCGTTAATTTATAGAAATATTAGGATGCAAGCAAAAGTTAAATAATCAAATACTATCTAAAAATTTGTACATTCCGCTAATATAACCTAAGTACAATGAAATTAATTGTATCACATATTATGTTTATATACTATGTTACCACTTATTACTAATACCAAGGTACAAACAAAATAATAATTTATACTACTAATGCCGTTCCTCTCTCATAGGATGTGTAATGTATGACTGTAAGAAGTAATTGTGTTATGAGTGTAATGTGTGTGAGCAGTTATGGGAGAGGAGCGTGTAAAATGTATGTCGTGTGTGTGTGTGTGTGTTGCACACGTGCTTGTGTGTGTGTCTGGTTAAATTTTATACGGGTAGTATTACAGGTGACAGTTACATAAGAATTTATTTTTAAGTCTGAATACTAAGCAGGTTTTCAGTTTCATTATAAGTTAATTTTTGTAGGTAATTATGTACAGTTTTTTTTACAATTTATTTTATTAAGGTGGTAAATGTCCAATGTTTTATTTAGTTTATTATATAAGTGTTTTCCCAAAAATGCAAAGAATTTTCTTATAAAAGTTGTTTTAAATATAGTTGTATCTACGGAAAATTTCCTGCGTTTGTTTAAGTTCGATCGGTTGTATACTAATAAGTTATGTTGTTTCTGAAAGATCGTTAATATAAACAGGTGTCTTACTGTAAGGACCTGACAGTTATCATAAAGCTGTGATGTAGGATAAAGAAAAGGTTTAAATGTTGCAACTTTGAGTATAGCACGTTGAGAGATTTCTATCTTTTGTAACATCATCTTTTAGAGGCACCACCCCATGTTGATATGCAGTATGTTATATTAGACTGACATAAAGCTACGTAAACTCGTTTTAATATATCTGGATCCAAAACGTGTCTAATAGTTTTAAAAATATATATTAATTTATGAATTCTTTTTCTAAGAGTGTTAATATGTTGTTTAAAATTTAAATTACTATCTATTATAACCTCTAGATATTTAATATATTCAATAGACTCAAGTAAAAGGCAGGAACAGCTGTTATCCCTTGTTAAACAATCATATGAATGAATCACTAAGTTAAAATTTTCAAGGCTGCGAATAGGTTTTATTAATGAATAAACTATATATTTTGTTTTCGTAATATTGATTGAAAGTTTATTACTGTAAAGCCAATTAGTAACTGCATTTATACCTAATTGTGCAGATGAGAATATATCTTTCCACGTATCCGCAGCAAATATCAAAACTGTGTCATCTGCATATGAAATTATATGTCCCTGAGAGAGATTAAATTTTGTAAAATTATCAATATAAATAAGAAATAAGGTTGGGCCGAGTATACTTCCTTGTGGTACGCCGTGTGTTACTAGTAAATCATTGCTGGTAATATTATTTACACTAACGCATTGATATCTCTCAGAAAGATAACTTTTGAATAGTTTGAGTTGAGTGCCTCTGATACCGACATTTTCCAGTTTTTTTAATAGTATTTTATTGACACGGTATCGAATGCTTTCGCCAAATCTAAGAAAACAGAAATACACTTTTTTCCACTGTCTAAATACGATGACAAAAAATTTGTAAGAGTATGAACGGCATGCTCCGTTGATTTGCCATGTCTAAAACCAAACTGCGTATTTGACAATAAATTATTTTTCTCCAGATATTTTGTAAGTCTATTATTTATAATTTTCTCTAAAATTTTGCATAAAGCAGGTAATATAGAGATGGGTAGTATATTTACTTAAACAGGTTTTTTCACCATCTTTAAAAATAGGTCGAATTACGGACTTCTTATGATATCTAGGGAATACACCATCATTTAAACATTGATTAAATATACAAGTTAAAGGAGGTATTAACAAATATTTAAAATTTTTAATAAATTTATTCGAAATTTCATCCCAACCAACTGAACAGTCGGTTTTCAAATTGTCAATTAATTGTTCTACTTCACTTTCATCCGTGTCCAATAAAGCAAATGAATTTAAGTAATAATTTGATTCTTCACCAATGTTAATATTAAAACTTTCACTGTTTTTACTTCCTACCTTAAAACTCTCTGCCAAACTTTTACCTACGTTTACAAAATAATTATTAATAAGGTTAACAGATACTTGCGGCGTGCTAGATATATTTAACAGTTCTCTGTTATACCCTTTCTTTTTCATGTTACCTATAATATCAGTAAGTACTTCCCATAGCTTCTTATTATTATTTTTAGCCATATTCACTCGCTCTTTTTAATAACTTCTCCTTACCTTTTTTAAACAATGCGTTACAGTGATTACGATATCGTCGGTATATAATTTGATCACTTTCACTATCTGGAAATCGTCTAGCCCTCTTATGTGGTTTATCACGGTGACGAATACATCTAAGAAGATCAGTCGTAATCCAAGGTTTAATGATCTTTTTTTGTCTTGGCAACTTCACTAATTTAGTATTAACTTCAATTACTGTTTTTATTTTATTAACTAAGTATTCAAGAGAAGTATTTGGATCTTTAATATTATATATAGGTAAAAAGTCAATGTTTTGCATATCCGAATTAAGTTTATCGTGATCTATTTTTCTGATAGTACTTGTATAAAACTGTTGACGTTGTTTATTTTTCATACATAAAATTACAGGTTTGTGATCAGTGATTGAAGTTTGAGGAACCATAGTAAGTGAAGGATTATTCGTTTTTAGCAGAATATGATCAATACACGAACCACTTGTGTCACGTGTTACTAGAGTATGAGTGGGTAGTAACCCATGGAATGCTGTCAGTTGTAAATACTTATCCGAATTAATATCTGTTTTATTGTTAATGTTAATATTTATATCTCCTATTATAATTATGTTTTTATGTTTCGAATATTTCTGTAGTACACTATCCAAGAAGGCAAAAAAAGTTTTCTACATTTTTATATGACGTTGACCTATATATTGAGATTATAACAATATCATTCAATGTTGTTATGATACAA